CCCTACATTTACTCGCTTCTCCAACTCCATGTAAATATTGGGAGTTTTTTGTTCTTCAATCAGCTATAAGATATCCTCACTGGATTTGATTTTCATCTTCACAACTCGTTCCCTTCCATCAAATACTGCCCACAATATGTACTCAAAATTACAAGGATCGGCCTTCAATAATGCTTGACCACGAGAAACTACTTAAGAATACATTTGTCGGAGTAATTTATTCTCATCAGCTCTGCCACTCCACCAAGATATGAATCCCCGGAAAACGTAACACCATAGCTCACACATACTCTAACACGGGTACTAGCCATTTAAATAAGTGAACAACAAAAAGAATTAAAATGAAAGAAACAGAAAATTGCAGTAGAGAAGAATGGTGCAGACGTTGAATTATTAGAGATCACTGTTTTTTTGCCTGCATGATAAATGCACAGACAAAATCCTCACCTGTGAAAAAGAAGTCAATTAATGAGGTGTGTAACTTACGCGACAGGTATGCTATCAAATTCCGAATAGTCGTAAAATACCATGACGATATGGACCTGCAAAAAAATGGCGCGTAATCGTCAATTAAATTATGATTTATTCGATTTTGTTATGCGATTCTTCAATATGCGAGCGAAAAAATGTCGCATAATTTTCAACTATCCGGTGAATATATGCGAAAGTTTTTCGCATACTAGTAAATTATGCGATTGACTTGGATATGCAATTTCCTGAAAATGCGAATTCAACAAATTATGCGAATAATATGCGAAACATTTTCGCACAGTCATAAATTTGCAAGGTCGATATACCCCTGCGAAGTAAGGCGCATAATCATCGTAAATTATGCTGCATTCGATTTTGATATGACATTCTTAAAACTGCGAAAGATGTTCGCATATTTGTAATTATGCGTTTGATGTGGATATGCGATTACAAAAATGCGAAATATTTTCGCATAGTCATAAATTATGCGTCCAGTTGGATATGCGCTGGGTCATTTGCACATGCGAGTATAATATCGTATAGCATTTCGTGAATTTTGGAGTGTAAAAGAAGTTATTTAATAGGGCAGTGTGTAAAAGAAAAAATAGATTTATAACAGGGTGAAAAACCAAGCTTTTATTATTTATGTTACCAGATTATTTATTTTATTCCCAATCGTTTGGCGATAACCCAAGCTTTTATTATCTTGTTGAACCTTGAGCAACCGAGCCCGCGGCTCGCTCCCGAACCCGAACCCATGTCCCGCGACCCGTTTCCTTTGGCTTGGAGGGCAAGAATATTTGACCTAGGTTTATTGAAATCATACGAAGCCCTTCTCCTTCCTCTGTTTTATTGCACAGACATCAAATTCGCGCATCTCTCTCGTGCGAGCAGAACCAGAATAAGCTTCTCCCTCGTTTGTTAAAAAAAAACGATCGCTCTCATATTCCTCTCACTCGTTCACGTTGAAAGAAAAACAGAAAACTTGAACCCTTTTTATCTTTTCCTCTCGTCGTCGCGAAACAGAGCAGAAAAGGAGAAAATTTTGTTCGTCCATCGTCAATAATAAAAACTCGCTCCCTCTCTCGCTCACCTCTCCCCTCAATCTTAAAATTCGATCACCATCATCAGACCTCCGCTGCTAATCTCCACCGGCTTTTCGTCCCCGCGTGCGCACCATCATCATCTCCATTGTTTCCAATCGCCACCCTTTCCCTGCTCGCGAAGTCACCGTGCACCACCCTTAACAGCGCCCCATCGACGCCATCCTGCACTACTAGAGAATTCCCACTATTCGCTCGCCACCATCACGCACCTCGTCAGTCCCTGTTCACGGCGGGCAGAACCCAACCGTCACCGACGATACACCTCAACCGTGTGTTTCCATCCCCGGGCAGCACACCGCCATCGCCGGAGAAGTAGTGTCAGTCCAATAGCCGCAGCAAGCTCCATCAGTGTTCGGTGACAGCAACCCAGTGAAGCCATCGACGAGTCCTGTCACTTGCTTCCCCGTGAACTTGTTGTCCGTGTGTAGCCGCAGGACCGATTCTGACAATCACATCATCATCGAGCCGGTGTTCTGCATCTCCGTACGCGACCAGCCCCTTGTTCGTGATCGTTAGCGAATCCTGACGATCCGAACAAAATGCAATTGTCGAGCCGCCGGAAGCCATCTTCGACCCGTTGTCCGACCTTTTTTCTTTCCAATAGCTCGTAGATTCCCAAAGACAGGTAACAATTTCAAACCCCTGGTTATTCCGGTCGCGCTCGTATATCACATGTTAGATATATATATCGTACGTTATATCGAATCCTTGCTTGAAGTCAGATTTCTTTCGATTTGTATAGTTCATGAGTTATGGTGATATCTCTAGCTCTGTTGTGCCGCGATTTTAGCCTTCAGAAACTTGTTATCTGATGTTGGGTTCTTCATATGAAATGAAGTTAGTTTTGTTGGCTTTGTGTGGGATTTGGAATCATGTTATTTCGATTTGAAACAAATAAGTTATGATTTTTGCAAAATTGTCGCGCGAACAGTTTTTATACAAACCCGGCAGCTTGTGTTCATTTAATGTCTGACCTGATTATCATGTCTTAATGTGCTTAAATGATGTTGTGTTCTGCATGAAAGTTATGGGTCTTTTTATTAGCTTTCTAATGAGGTATGATGCATGTTGATATGAACTCTGTCGCACAAGTTAGAGTCAATTTACTGAGGTGCTGTTTGTAGCATGTTCTGACAGATTTTATGGCTCACATTTTTTGTGTTTAAACTCGTTGATGATGTTGTTATTTTCCAATGTGATGTTTAGTAAAGTTGTAGATAATCGAGTTAGCTATATGTTAGTTTTTGAATCAAGTCATTTGGAGGTATGTAGCTTCACTTAGCTTGCAAATACTGAGGTCATGTCAGCTATTGAATTTAAATGGTGGTCTGCAACTCGATTTATATGTTTGATGAATAATCTCCTGGTAGATGACTTTATTTGTTTTCGGCGTCTTCATGAAAGTTGTAAATGCATGCCTTAGGTTTAGTTTGAGACTTGAATCATGATCATATTAATTTTGTGATGATTGTTAGGTCAATTTTAAAAACGCTGCCCGGTTTAAGTTTTGAAAAACTCGGGTTATGTGTTCAGAATTGAAGTGTTCGCTTTGCATGTATGCTTATGTGAACTATGTGGACTAAGTTGAATCGCGTGAATGTAGTTATAAGTTGATTCTCCAGATATCAGGTGGGTTTATCAGAAATTTCCTATGTTGTAAATGTTATAAATGTTTTGCTTGTGGTATGTTCAAAGTATGCATGTGAACCATGTAGCCTTCGATGTGAGTTGTACCAGCCGTCGAACAGCTTTCCCCGTAGCTATATAACATATCCGATGGGTAATCTCCTTTATTTATGTATGGCAGTCAGGGCGTGAGCCTTGGCTGGTGATCCCGATGTAACTCCAATGGCTAGGTTACAGGCCTTCGAAGTAGATTTACTCCTGTTGGCTGATCATCGATTGTAAGACCCGAGAGGCATTCGATACGTGTATCAGCAGCAATTTATTGATATAAGTGTGCACATGAGGGTTGACTCTGGGATAGGAGATAGAATATTAATTGATTTGTGTTCATACTGCGACCATACCTGCTATGTCTTCTGATTACTGTTCTTTGTGATTATTGTGAATAATGTTTACTGCATAGTGGTGAGCACTACGATTTCTATTTGTGCTCACCCCCACCTGCTCTTCATGGATACAGGTTAGTAAGTGTAGGCACGACGGAGAGATGCGAGTGGTGGTCGATCATTGATGACCAACTTATTATTTGATATTGCTTCCGCTTATTTAGCCGAATTACGTTATTTATGCATTATTGAATATTGAGGATTAGATTATTGATAAGGAGGTGCTCCTTAGATATTATGAATTTGAGAAACTCAATTTGGGTGTTGACATTATTGATGAACCCGTTTGGGAATTGAAATTATGACTGAATTTATGATATCGTTGATGATTGATTATGAATGGTTTTAAAAATGAGTAGCACCGCCAAATGATTTGAAATAAATTTAAAAAATTTATACTGATTTTCAACAAATAAAAGGGGGGTGTTACATAGTGATAGTTAACTACAAGCAATAATAAAATAAAATACAAGTAAGCAATTTATAATAATAAACACGATATAAATCGAAAGAGGTGCTACAGTATTCACCTGCATTTGGCTCCGACTCTAAGCTAACCACTTGCCAAATAGATCTACACTTGACTAACGTCCCACAAATGCAATTACCCGAAAACAAAAGAACAAGTATGTTTGACTGAAAAAATTAAAATAAAAAACAGAACATAATTTTAGAACATATGAATTTATCAATACTTAGGCCTCGGGTTTGGGCACGGTCTCAATAGGGGCATAATCAACACAGTCGAAGGACTACATAGGATGGGCAGAGAAACGACATTTTTTTTCTTTTTCTTTTTCTTTTTCTTTTTTTTTTTTTTTT